AGTACAGTGTGTAAGGTGCTCACCTTGCAGGCGGGCAACCCAACTTCAACCCCCTATGGTTCTAGATCACCAGAAATGGTCCCTGACCACAGAAGCCATGGGGTAAAACCCTGAGCACTGCCAGGTGCAGGTCCCCTCCACCATACGAAAAAAGGGAGGTAATTTTGGGAACTGGAGAGATAGTACAGCAGGCAAGGCATGCAGCTTGCATGAAGCCGACCCTGGTTCCATCCCGGGCACTGCATATGGTCCCCCAAGCACAGCTAGGAGTAATCCCTGAGAACAGAGCCAGAGTAAGCCCTGCACCACCACAAGAAGTGGTCCCAAAACAAAAATAAGTAAATATAACAGTACTAGGCCAGAGAGAGTACAGTCGGGAAGGTGCTTGCAAGCATACAGTCAATCCTGATTCAATCCTCGGCACCGCACTGAGCCCCAAGCACCTCAGGGTGTGGCACAAAAATCAAAACCCAAAATATAAATAAATCAAGCAACACTCCTGGGCCGCAGAGACAGGACAGCAGGGAAGGTGCCTACTCGCTCGCAGCCAAGCCGAGCACGGCTCGGATCGCCGGGGGAGGCCAAACCGTCCCTCCCACCAGTTTCATGCAGGTACCCGCACTCCCGAGAGAGGCTCTGAGGGCCTGGGGGCCCCTGGGGGCGAGGGGCTTGGCTTCCGGGGTGCCGAGGCCGCCCTGAACGGAGCCGAGAACGCGGCAAGTCCCGCCGGCCCCGCTCACGCCCAGCTCGCCTGCAGCCTCCCCACGGCGCTTCCTGCACGGCCCGGTGACCCCCACGCCCCCGCCAGGGGTCCCCGCTGCGGCTCGAGGCCGGTCCCCGGCGGGACCCCCGGGGGCGGCCCGGGACGCTACAGGCAGACGCGCCACTCACAGCGCCAGGTCCGCCGAGGCCCCCGCGGCCCGGTCGTCCCGGAGCCGTCGCCCGCCGACCCTCGCCGCCCCGAACCCCAGCTCACCCGCGCTAGACTCGGCCGCCTACGGCTCCCTCGCGTCCTCCGGTCGACCGGAAGTGCGCTCTGCCCCTGTCAAGACAGGTGCGCCCCGTAAAGCACCACTTCCGCTTCCTCTCTAGGACTTTCGGAGGTCGCTGCATCTCTATGGTCGCTGCCGGGCGGGAGCGCGAGCGGGAGGCCGACGGGGCCGTTCCCACCTCCCACCCCCATTTCTGTTGCTCTCGTCGAGGGTCTCCTCCAGGTGGTCGGGCCTGCTGGCGCGCCGCGCCCACTTTCCCAGGCATCCCACCGGAGACGACACCGCTCCCCCCTCGTGTCCAGTCGGTCACCCCAAGTTTATTCCACGCCCCTTCCCCTGCTTTGAGCAGGCGGAGGGGTTATCACGGGCCCAACTGGACCGGGGTGCGGAGAGTCTGAAAGGCTTCCGGGAGGAGCCAGCACCCGAGCTGAGACTGGGAGGTGCGACCCAAGGAGACGAGTGTTCCCAGCAGAGGGAGCTCGACTGGCAGCACCCTCGGCTCCTTGTGGATGGAAAACCCCCGGGAGAGAATTTGGCGCCTGAGAACCGCTGCGCCCTTAATCAGCAGGTTATCTCGGGACTCCCGAGGTGGCTCGCAATGTAGGCCCCCAGAACCGCGGGCAGCTACCTGGAATTAGCCCCCAGCACCACTGGGTAGAGCACCGTCCCTCCTCCTCCCAGCCCCGAAAAATTAAAGTAGAAATCAGACAGTTGCTCTCCATTCTGCAAGTGTGGTCAGGACGGGCAAGGTGCATTTCAGAGGCACACAGGATCTCCGAAAGGATTGGATGCTGGTGTGCTGCTTTCCTGAGTGCTCTCTTGTTAGTTCAGGCGTCCAGACCTAATTGCTCAGTCTTAAGAAAGCTTCTCCTTTAACCACATCCAGCCCTTGTTTCACGCCATACCCCCACCAGGACATATTTAAGAAAAACTTTCCCAGGTCGCAGAGTTAGTACAGCAGAGTTACCACTTACCTTGCACGCAGACAACCCACGTTCAATCCCTGGTACTACATAAGGTCCCCTGAGTTCTGCCAGTAGTGATCCCTGAGTGCAGAGCCCCAAGCACCCATGGGTGTAGGCCAAAAATAAAAACGAAACAAACAAAAAAAAAAAGAAGAAAAGCTTCCTGTACTGACATACTTTCCTCTGGGTACCTCACTTTCACTCTTCAAACTTAAACACCTTCCCTCTGGCATGGTTTTCCAGACTTTCACAAAACAAACCAAAAAAAAAACATTTTAAGTGATCGTTCTTTATAATATTCCTCCGTCCCCTCCCCTGCCTGGGCTGGACTTTTGAAGTGTGGATTAACAACACAGTTGTCCTGCATTCAGGAATCACTCCTGGATGGGGTTGGGAGACCATATGGGGTGCCAGGGATCGAACCTGAGTTGCCCGTCCAAGGCCAGCGCCTTTTCCGTTGTACTATCACTGTGTTTGGGGGCCACACTCCCTGTAGTGCTGGGAATCACGTGTGCTCGAGAGGGAACCCGGGTCCCAGTACAAAAGCCGGTGCTCAGCCCTCTGAATTATCTTCCCGCCTCCTAGCTTCTAGAGTGTGGACCGGCCCCGGGTTGGCCTGACTCACCCCACCCCACCCCCGCCCGCCTCCCCTCGGCAGTTCACAGCTTTCCTACCACAAGACACTTCTTCGCCTGCCCCCCACTGCCAGACCAGAGCCGGACCCTATCCCGCCGTCCCCTTGAACCTCGCGTTCATCATTTAGCTTTCGTCTTTCTCCGGTGAAGGTACACCTCTCAATGCTTGGCCGTCGCGATGCTTCCAGAACTGAGCCCCGAAGGAAGACAGGACGGGTTTCCCATCCTGGGGATCAAGGTGGTGGATTTTATAGGGGCAGAGCCCCCAGCTACAGCAGAGGATGCTGTGCCCTGTCTTTTGTCTGCACCCCCGGGATGATACACGCAAGTTTTTCAGCTGTACAGTCCCTTAGGGAGAAAAGTTCCGCCCCTCCCACACCAGTGCATATTTCCCAGGAAGGCCCCCTGATTGGCTGAGCTGGAGTCACATGCCCACTCCACACTGATCCAGAAAGGTGAGTGGGAGGGGCCAGGACGGCAGGGTGGGCCTAGATCAGGGTCTGGACTCATGCAGGGTGAGAACTTTTTTAAAGGGGGTGCACTATTTTCCTAAGGGAGCACCCTCGCATTAACACTTCCGATGGTCACACAAGGCATCCAGTGACCGGTATTACAATCCCCATACTGAAGATGAAGAAACTGAGTCGCAGGTTCAGAACTTGCCAAAACACGGTGGGGGAGAAAAGGCTTAAAGGGCTGGAGCCACGGCTTTTCCTGAAGGCCACCACCTGCTTCCCTCACCAACCTGGTTCTGCCAGGAGCAACCCCCCAAATACCACAGGATGTTGTTGATCCTGCAAGCAAATGACTAATTACAAGGATTCCCTGGGCAGAGATCTGACTAGAGAACAAAGCTCCGTCCTAGTGGAAGAGCCTGCTGCCTAATTTCAGGGGTCCTACCAGAAGGGTCAGTAAGCCACCTCCGTGTGAGGGGAAACCCAAGGGGCCTGGAAAGGAAGTTAACATTGACGCCAGCATATTCAAGTGGCCCCGTGGCCGAAAGGCAACACCAGGTGCATCACCCATGATTAGCAACAACCAAAAATGCTAATAGAAGGAAAAAGCTATTACAATATCCCCCTGCTAGTATCCCATAGGATTCTAAAGCACTTAGGATCAACTGCAAGCTGAATCGCTGGGAATGAAGAGCCAGCAAAAGAAAATCTCCCTGCTTCTGAGGCACAGCATAAGGAGTTGGCGTCAGAGAGCTGCGTTGCCACCTTCTTCCATGGCCCCAACAGGTTAGGCTCTCCACATCGCTGTCCCTCACCAAGGCAGTTCCCTTCAACAGCTACTGTGGTCTGTGAAGGTAAGCGTGCTTCAATGGACAAGAGACCAGGGGATCCTTAGCTAGCAGATTCCTTTCTTTCCCTTCCCACTCTTCAGCAAAAACGCACATTAGGGGCCAGAGCCATAGTACAGCTGAAAGGTCATTTGCTTTGTGCACAGTTGACCCAGGTTCAATTCCCAGCATCCCATATAGTTGCCTGAACAGTAGTAAGCCCTGAGTGCAGACCGGGAGCTAGCTGTGAGCACCACTGGGTGTCGCCACAAAACAAAAAAGAACGTTACACTAAGTAAATAGTGGCAAGCTTACTTGCCCTCAGATTATTTTGCTTTCACTTTTGCAAGTCTGCTTACTAAAAAGAAAAGCTTATTTTTTCCTAAATCTATTGATACTGCTTACTCTAATTTTATGAACACACAGCTTCCCAACCAAATACCTTTTAAGTATAAAATATTTTAAGTGTAAAAATACCTTTTCCAGACTTCATTCCTGCAGGGAGTAGAAAAGAAAGTTTGATATATATATGAAGGCACATGACCCACTCCTGTGAAGCAGATTTCTGGAAGGAACCGAGTCCCAGCCATGATGGAGATTCCAAAATGCTTCTGGTTGAGGCCTTCAGACTCCATTTGAAACAAACTCTTAAAGTAATAAGCACACCTTTATTCAAGTGGACGTAGAAAAGCACATTCCAAAACAAAAATGCATACATGTGACTTTTACATACTCTGATACTTTAGGGGTGACTGAATCCTGTTTCATAATCACTCGAAGTGACCATTGGTTTCTCTATGCGCAGTACACACATATGTAGGTGGAAAAAAACACATGCATTTTAAAATTTGCTTCTATATTTAGATCAGTTTGTTAAGATCTTCCCTGCCCTGATAATATCCTATGCCTGTTGATGGCTAAGAGGTAAAATGTGGTAGAATTATCCTAGAAGTTAGCCAGAAGAGCAAAAATATGTTACACACTTACTAAAGATCCTAGTTAATATTGTAACACCTGACTATGATGGCCTCAATAGTTGGAATGACAAGAATTTTAAGTAATACTTGTCTTATTCACAGAAGGTTATGAAACTTAAGATAGACACAAAAATGCTTTGACACCGACATCATCTAAAGAATCGTAAACTTTTATTAGGCTTTAGGGTGGAAAAATAAACCACAAAACCACCTGCCAAAAATTTTATTTTTAAGTCATTCCGACTTTAGAAAAAAGATAATTTCATATACTATTTTAAAAAATCACACATTTTTGCTAGGAATTTCTGATAGAGTCCCTAGACTCTGGTGTGAATATCTGTGATCATTTTTTTTGTTTTGGGACCACAACCAGCAGTAATCCAGGGTGACTCCTGGTGGTGCTCGGAAGCCTGTGATCACATTAATCAAACACACACACAAAAATAAAAACCATTTTTTGTGACTTGAAGACTCTTGTCATATTTTTCAAGTGTGATGGTATCTCAACAATTATACAGAGTCCCCATCCTTTGAATACTGCCCTGAACTGAAGGGAGATTGGGGCAGAAATCTGAACAGACAAAGAAACCAAGTTTTATGAGACACAGACCTGCTGTTCTCTCTGAATACCCTCCCTAGAGACACTACAGAACAAGAGTATCCTGCTGGAAGGCCGCCCCCACCTGATGAAGCTCTCATTTTTAGCTTATATTCTTCATTTTGCTAACAACAGCAGACCTAAGGATTTTGTGGACCTTCAATGAAAACTACATGAAAACCAATTCTAATCTTAGCCATGCAGGAAAGGTGCTGAATGTAACTACATAATCAGGAGACATGCGCCCCTGATGTCATCACTTCTTTCAGAGAACTATAGATACAGGACAAGGGCAGCTAAGTACTAGGCTTCATATGAAAACGCTTTGGTGCCTGCCACAAACTCAGGACATAGAATACTCGTGGATGGATAAAATGCAAGGATCCAATCATTTTAATAGAAAATATTCCACTTAAGGAAAGAAGACACCAGAATAACAACATCAACAGAGACAGCTTACCTATTGGTGTAAAGTTTAAAACTAGGAAAGCCTCATTTGAATGTGCTTAAGAGAATGGAAACATCAACAGGAATCCAAGTGCACTGGCTGACAAGGAATAGAAAGTAGGGTCGCCAGAAAAACAGATCTATGAGTCTGGGAGAGAATTTGGACTAAGAACAGCAGAAAAAGCTAAAAGCATTAACTTGCTAGAACTTATGTTTTAACATCAGTGTATTAACACTACTTCCAGAAGCTTAGAACAGTTAAGAACCAATTTCAGGATAAAATCAATGTTTATAGTCAAATAAAAATAGCTTCAATGAGTTCCATAAATAAAGTTTACATACTTACAACACTAATATATTAAATAAAAGAACATCATGACAAAACAATGCATTCACCAAGTCAGTGCTCAGACTTGATTCCTCTGCAAGGAAAACAATTGTGACTATGTATAGATATATAGATTGACTTCATATACAAATAATCAACAATTTTCTCTCCAGTATTCAAATGTCAAGTAAAGCCTGAAATATGATACCAGATCCTGGTGGAAATTCTGGTGCTGAAAACAGATGAAATCCTACTGAAGGGCATTTCAGATGTACATTCAAATGACTTCTCTTAGGTATGGGTTCTCTGATATCAAATGACAAATGAGGGCTGGAAAATAATGGCATTTTCCCTCACAAATCCGCATTTATCACATTCACAGGCTTTTTGCATGGAATAATTTGAAGAACAAGCTTCTTTAACCGGTGGCATTTTCACAATTATCGTGTTGGGATTGTACTCCAGCATGAATTCTCCAATGGCGACTGAGGTATGAAAATAGCATTAAACATTTACCACATTCAATATATATATATATCATTGGTTAGGGTTTGCAGGTGTTAAGAGCGTAGCTTTCCTACATTCATCACATTCTGAGGGTTTTATTCTGGTGCAGATTTTCTGATGCTGAATAAAGGCTGACTTATGACTGAAAGCTTTACCACATTCAATTACAACACAAGATGTTCTCCCTGCTGTGTACGCTCAGATGTTAAACGAGGCCTGAACTTGACTAAATGTCTTCTCACGTTCACTGCACTCGTAAGGTTTCTCTTTGGTATGAACTCTTTGATGCTGAACAAGGTGTGCTTGCTGACTGAGACTGTTTTCCCACATATCACAATCAAAGGCTTTTTCTCTGTTGAGGACTTCCTGTTGCAGGACAAGATCTGAGCTATGACTGAAACTTTCCTCATAATCTTTATACTCATAGGATTTCTCTTTCCTATGGGTTTTGTAATGCTGGATAAGGCATGAGGTTTGGCTGAAAGCTTTCCCACATTCATTACATTCATGTGGTTTCTCTCCTGTGTGAATTCTTTGATGCTGAATAAGATGGGAATTCAATCGGAAGTCTTTCCCACATTCATTGCATGTATAGGGCTTTTCTCGGAGACGAACCCCTTGATGCTTGACAAAGTTCAACCCACAATCATTGTAGTCAAAGGATTTCTCTTCACAGTGGACCTTTTGATGTTCAACTAAGTATGAGGTATGATAAAAGTCAATGCCACATATATTACACTTGTAAGGCATCTCTCTGTGAATTCTCTGATGTTGAGCAAGGTGGACACTACGGCTGAAGACTCTGTCACAAATGTTACATTTATAGGACTTTGCTCTAGTGTGAATCTTCTTCTGCTGGATTATATCTGAATTCTGACTACACGATTTCTCAGCTGCATCACAGGATTTCTCAGCTACTTCACATTTATAGGGTTTTTCTCTAGAGTGTATTCTTTTATGTCGACTAAGACTTGAACTCTGACTGAAAGATTTTTCACATTCCTTACATTTGTAAGGTTTCTCTCTGGTATGAATTCGCTGATGTCTAGAAAGGGCAGAGCTCTGATGGAAGGTTTTCTCACATGCATCACATTTATAGGACTTCTCAGGGGTAGGAACGCTCTCACATTTACTCTGGGGAGAGAGATCCATTAAACTTTCCTTATATTCATGACTCTGAAAATCCTGTGTTAGATTTATTTGTTCATGTTTATCAGCAGCCAAATTCTGATTGAGGCTTATGTCATACTTATCACAATCATCAAGATTTTGTATTCTAAGAACTCTTTGATCCGTATCAAAAGTGGAGTCCAGACTAAAGCTCTTCTCTGGTTCACTGTATTCATTGCTCTTCTCACTGGTGAAGGATTTCTTGCTGATTGTTATTTGCCTAAACTCCCTCTCTAGGAAGAGAAATTTCCTTAGGATTTCCTGAAGCCTCTCTAATCTATCCTCAGACTTAGCGACTTCTCTCGTTTCAGGAACTTTGGCAATATCCTTCTTGAGTCTTCCTACCCTTGCTTTGTATGAATGTACTTCTTCTGAAATTCTCTGCTTAGGAATCAATACTTTGTTCTCTTCTCTGGTGTCTCCATCTGATTCAATATATAAAGAGAAAAGGCAAATGTAATCTGTACCCTGTGCCGGTAAAAAGAAAATTTGGAGGCTAAAACTAACCCAGTATCTACTGAAATTCAGCACACAATCTCAATAGCAGATGTGAGGCATAAATAGGGTGTTGAGGTGGGAGACACAGGGCTCAGGGTGTGCTCAGCAGAGTGATTAGATAACCAACAAAGTATGACAAAGGGTAGCAGGGACGAAGTTCAAAAGAGCTAGATAAGCAACTTGAGCAGAACTGAGTGCAACTTGATGATGGTAAGAGACAAACCAGAGTTCTTCAAAACTGAAGGGTGGGACTGGAGCCATCCAGAGGCTGACTCCAGTTCACTCCGAGCACCCAGTATGGCCAAAACAACTACACACACACACACACACACACACACACACACACACCTGAATGGAAATGGAAGGAGATCTCCATTTTGTGTATCACTATTCATTTTGATGGTCAAGGAAGCTACAACTTGGCTAGAAAATGGGACTTCACTCCCCTCCTATCTCCAGCTAAGTGATTCTGCCTTACTCACCTGGGTAGTCATCTCTTAAGACTTCTCTGTTCTTAGTTTCCAGATCAGAGACCTGTAGATCTTGTTCTAGCTGGGAGATGCCATCAGGCTTGGAAAATGGAAATCCTGCTCACAGAGAAGGAAATGGATGTGACAATTTATCTCCAAAACTACACCAGCAGCCACTTCCCCACCTCTACTAATGGTCAGAAGAGAAAGACAACAATTCTTAGAAGCAATTAGGAAGATCTGGAGAGAAAAAAAAGGGCAAATCCTCTACAAGGAGCTCATACTGTGCTTAGAAAGAGGTGCAAAAAGGAGCAGATTGATGACTTTCAGAATTAAATATTATTCGAATAAGACAATTTTCATAGTCATAGCCTGGAAACAGGTGAAAGCTCAGGTTCCTGGTGAATGGTAAGTTAAACCATAGCAACAGAATTAGTGAAGGCTGACTCAACCATCCAATCTCAAGAAGCAAATTTTTTTCAGTGCACATAATGTTTTCTTAGCAATGTGACATCTGCTTACCCATTCGGAGCCACCACTCATTTCTTTGATATTTCTAGAGTGCTTCCCATAGTTAAGGGCCACCCCTCAAAGACTTCACACTCTAACTGCAGAGTATAGGAACTATAATATGATAAAATACAATAAAAGTCTATCTTCATAGAAATGATCTTTCATATAAAAGTTTTTTCTATAAAGAACTGCTAAGGATTTAATGCTTTTAACTTGGGGGGGGTTGCGGGGGCAGGTGAGCATAGGGCTTGGGCCACACCCAGCAGTACTGAGGCTATTCGTGACTGTGCTGGGGAAGAAGGGTGGGAAACCATATGCAGTGCCAGAGACTGAACAAAGGCCAGCCTCACGCAGGCCTTATGTAATACCATCCCATCACCCCGGCCCTACCCCCTTACTTTTAAAGATGATATACAGTGCATGCTGGAGGACCCAGAGTCACTCCCAGCCATGCTAAGGGGATACCAGGTTCAATCTCCTCATCAGGCAATAAGCTCACAGTCAAAGCCTGCCTCTCTCTTCACTTACTGAAAATATACAAAATGCATTTTCAGTTCCTCTAATTCTGACCAGTCAGTACAGAGTGGAGTCGTAGATTTTTAAGACTGGCTTCAGGTACTTTTCTTACATGGGAGACCTCCCAAGTAATGTCTAGGGGGCTGGGAGCAAGTCCACATGACAGTAAGCAAACCAAACAGTTCAATCTTCAGGCCTGGTGATGTGACACTGCTAAGGACCAATAATGCTCAGGGGCTACCGGGTCACACCTAATGGTGCTCAGATGCCACCAGGGCCACACTGGACAATATTCAGGGGCCTTCCAGAGCCCATGTGGTTGTCAGGGATCAGACTCAGAGTCTCCTGAACAAAGCCCTGTCTGCCTCTTTGAACTACCCTCCCTTCCCCACCACTTCAGGGTTAACCACTGCTACTTAGAAACCCTTTGAGAGCAGGGGGCCATGTATCTTGCACTGTGCTAATCAAGTGCTCAAGGGTCACTTACGTAACAGATAACAGCAGCCCTCAGCATGCCCTATGAGAGCCTATGAGCAGAGAAGTAAGAACAGACACAAGAAAAGTTACTTGAGAGTGGGGGAGGTCTCTGGGATGGGAGAGATAACTCAATGGACTGAATGCATATTTTGCATGAAGGAGACTTAGCTTGGATCACTGGTACCACAGGCTCCCCTGAGGCCTGCCAAGAGCAATCCTCAAAACAGAGCTGGGATGAACAGATAAGGCGCTTGCCTTGCACACAGTAGACCCAGGTTCGATCCCTGGCATACCATATGATCCCCAGGCCTGCCGGGAGTGATTCCTAAGTGCAGAGGCAGGAGTAACCCCTGAGCACCACGATGGCCCAAAAACAGTAACAAAACTCAGGGTCTCAAAAATGCAAGCAAAATACTCTACTGTTGAGCTACATCCTAGTCCACCAAATTAGCTGGGGCTGGAGAAATTGTACAGCAGATAAGGTGACTGTCTTGCACACAGTCAATCTGGGTTTGATCCCAGGATCTCATATGATCCGGAGCACCACCAGGAGTGATTCCTGAGTGCAGAGACAGAAGAGACCCCTGAGCATCACTAGTGTGCCCCCACACCCCAAAAGAAAACAGAGCTGGGAGTAGCTCCAAGCACTGCCAGCTCTGGCCCAGCTCCACCCACCACCACCAAAAAAAAAAGGTTAGGAGCTGGAGAGAATGCAGAGTGGGCAAGGTGTTTGCCGTGCATGCGGCTTATCCAAGTGCAATCCCAGCACTGTACATGGTCCCCCCCCAAGCTCCGCCAGGAGTAATTCCTAAGCATAGAACCAGAAGTCCTAAGCACAGCCACAGCCAGATGTGGTCCCAACATACCCCCACCAAAAAAAAAAAAAAAAGTTGGGAGTAAATATTTACTGTGTTCCCAATTCCTTTTAGGCATTAATAGAGCCAATTCTCCTTTTAACAATTAGATAATCCTTATGTCAAACAAAATCATTTTTCTAAGTTTAAAGACGTCAGTTCAGAATGAGAGAGACTGATAATACAGGGGTTAAGGCACTTGCCTTGCACGTGGATAACCCTGGGTCGATCCTCAACACCGTACATGGTCACCTGAGCGCTGCTAGGAGAGACCCCTGAGTAGAAAAATACAAGTTGTCTCTGAGTGCTGCCAGATACAGTCCCCCAAGCCCCAAAAAAGTGTCAGGCTAGAGAACAGTTCAATGGGCTGTAGCATATTAATTGCATGCAGGAAGCAGGGGTTTAGTCCCCATCACATGGTTCCCCAAGCACCGATAGGGAGTAACCTCTGAGCACAAGCACTGAACTGGGAGTAGCCCCTGAACACAGCTGGGTATGGCCCAAAATCCAAACTCAAAGAAAAAGTCAGTGTACCATGAAGCTGGAAGAATTCCACTCAAAATTCTGATAACAATTTTTCTTCCCTCCCAGCCCCCACCGATAACATAATTTGTAACTTTTTTGGGGGGGTTGGGGGGTCATACTCAATGGTACTCCAGGAAGCATGCAGTGCTGTGGATCAAGCTCCAGCTTCCTGCATACAAAGTATGCACTCCAGCCTGCCAAATCATCTCTTGGACCCATCTTGCAGCTTTATTTCTAGCCGTGGGGGTGAGGTGGGGCCTCCCAAGTCCGGCTGAGGAGTCCCAGGGGACTGAGCAGTGATTTCTGGCCAACTGGGTTGGTGATTCAAAGCGAGAACTTGAAGCTGTAAAGCTGCTGGGGCCCTGCAATGCTGGCAGTGCTAGAGGCCTCCTGGGTTAGACCTGGTGATGCTCAAGGGGCTTCACAGTGCCATGATTGAACCTGATTAGATGCACATATGCTACCTCCCAGTCCCAGTCCAACTTTACACCTTAATATATCAAGCATTTTGGTGAGTTGACAACTGAAACAAATTTGGTTATTTACTCTAGATCTGGGCTGAAGCAACAGCACAGCAGGTAGGGCGTTTGCCTTGCATGCAGCCGATCAGGCCGACCCAAGTTTGATTCCTCCACCCCTCTTGGAGAGCCCGGCAAGCTACCAAGAGTATCTCGCCCTAACGGCAAAGCCTGGCAAGCTCCCCGTGACATGTTCGATATGCCAAACAGTAACAACAAGTCTCACAATGTTACTGGGCCTGCTTGGGCAAATAGATGAACAATGGGAGGACAGTGACAGTGACTCTAGATGTATGCTTAAAAACAGAGGCACAATAAAGATCACTTGGGGGGCTAGGAATGTAGCTCAGAGGTCTAGCACATGCTTTGCATATTAGAGGGAGGCCCTTGCAGCCAACGCCAGAAACAAACAGAAACTGAAAACAAAAAACAAAAAAAAAGGAAAAAAATATCTTCAAGGGGCGTAAGAAAATCACCAACAATTAGAGAGGTATAAGATTCCTAAGGTTTATTAGAGCAACTGGTAGGTGCAGAACTTTTACAAGTTTTCCCTCACTTAACACAAGGCATAATTTTTTTTTTTTGATGTAGGAGTACTGTTATTCCATCACTGATTAGGCTGATTGAATTGGGCATGAACTCCACCTTACTTTTTTTTTTAATTTTTTATAATTTTATTTATTGAATCACCGTGAGAGCAGTTACAAAGCTTTCGGGTTTAAGTTTCAGTCATACAATGAAACACCCATACCTTCACCAGTGCCCATTCTCCACCACCAAAAAGCCCAGTATACCCCCATCCCACACCCTCCCCTACCTGTGTAAACATAATTTTGAAGCAGGGTCTATTATTGTACCCATTTTACAAATGGGAAAACTAAGATTCTGAGGGCATAAGTAACTTGTCCATTCAGAAACTATCTCTAAATAATTTACTACTTAAAATTTTGCTCGAGCGGGCCCAGTAACGTCTCCATTGGAGATTTTGTTGTTACTGTGTCTGGCATATCGAAAACATCACGGGGAGCTTGCCAGGCTCTGCCATGCGGGCGAGATACTCTCGGCAGCTTGCCGGGCTCTCCGAGAGGGGTGGAGGAATCGAACTCGGGTCAGCCATGTTGGCTGCGTGCAAGGCAAATGCCCTACCACTGTGCTATCGCTCCAGCCCTAAATATAATTAAAATTATAATCCGTACAGAAAGAGAACAGAAGACTAACACAGGGTATAAAAAAAAAATAAACAAAGTCACTGGGAACATTGGTGGTAGAAAATGTATACTGGTGGAGGGATGGGTACTTGATCATTGTATGACTGAAACCCAAACATGAAAGCTTTGTAACTGTGTCTCATGGTAATTCAATTAAAAAAAAAATCAAAGAGAGCAGAGCCCAGGAGCTGGCTCAAAGAGCCAGAGTAGGGGCTCTGCTGAGACGAGTCTGAGGCTCAATCCCTACACCCCCCCCCCAGGTGAGCACTGCCAGAAAGAGCCTGAGACCCCCACCTGTCACACATAGCTGTGGCCCCACCCTTGCCCCCCCAAAATAAACAATATATAGAAAACTAGGAATCAACAGATTGAGAGTGATGTTTTAATTAAAAAAGATCCAGGAGCAGGAGAAATAGTACAGCAGGTAGGGTGCTCCCCTTGCAAAAAGCTGACCAGGGTTCAATCCCTGGTATCCCACATGGTCCCCCAAGCGCTGCCAAAAGTAA